TGCCTGGCTGCCGGCCGCCATCTTGGCTGACAGTTAATTTGCATATACTCACTGATTAGCCAATGAAAAGGGTAGCGGTTGTACGCTAATTACCATGTTTCTCTTTTATTAGTGTAGATAGTCACTCTTTCTCCAGGACAAAGCCCGGTGTCAGTTCTCATTGACCTACTGTGCACACAGGTGGCTACAGACATCATTTTGATGCACTCAGTTTCACACCTTAAACTACCATAATGTTCTATGTCCATTATATCTCAATTTTTAAAGAGGCAAATTAAGAAGTCAGACTTTTTTTTATTTCTGAGACTTTATCTTAAGAACTATTTCAAAAATACAGAACTTATCAACAAAGGTGCTCATCACAATGTCATTTATTACTATCAATAATATACTAGTAGTGACCATGAGGAAAGATTAGAAAATTATGGTACATCGACCTCATGGAAAATAATGTAGGCATTTTAAATGTTCACTGTCCAATTAAAATTATTCATGGAATGCACATCAAATATTAAATAATGGTTGTCTTTAGTTAGTAAGGTTATGGTGATCTTTTTCCTACATATATTCTTAAAATTTCCAAATTGTCCATAATTCTGTAATAGAGAGGGGAAGCTTTTCAAAAGGCAAACTTCCTTGGAAAAGTTTTACTTGCATAAAAAGCTTTTTCTTGGTTTAATTGAAAACTAATCCTTTTACTATCAGTTTCCAGAAAATATACCATTTTCTGGAAGGACACCTGGAGCAAGGAATATGGAGAATGTGAGCAAGACCAGTCAAAGATAAATTTGGCCTGCTTAGAAACATACACTAGTTCCTTATGACGACCAGATAAGGAGCAAATTTCACTGTCTGATATTCAAGGTTCTTCATAACTCATCACAGTGTGTCTAAACCAGCGGTTCTCAACCTCTGGGTCGCGACCCCTTTGAGGGTCGAACGACCCTTTCACAGGGGTCGCCTAAGACCATCAGAAAACACATATATAATTACATATTGTTTTTGTGATTAATCACTATGCTTTAATTATGTTCAATTTGTAACAATGAAAATACATCCTGCATATCAGATATTTACATTACGATTCATAGCAGTAGCAAAATTACAGTTATGAAGTAGCAACGAAAATAATTTTATGGTTGGGGGTCACCACAACATGAGGAACTGTATTAAAGGGTCGCTGCATTAGGAAGGTTGGGAACCACTGGTCTAAACAGTATATGTGCACTTCTCAGTTGAACCTCTTCTCTGGCTTTTTCTTTGACTATCAAAATCCTTCCCATCTCTCAGTTATTTAATTCACTTCCACCCATGGAGACTTCTGTGAACCTCTGATGATCCCAGCCTCTACTATTTCTCCTTCTTCTTAAGGTGTTGATATAGCACTTAAGTTTGTTGACCACCTTTTTTCTAGTATTATGGCAATTCTAATTATTTTGTTGATTACTTGTATGTAAATAAATATCTTCCCAGTTAGATCTTAAGTTCCTTGAAGCCAAGAATTTAGATGGTCTGCAGAAGGTAGTCATTTGACAAATAAATACATAAGGAGAGCAGTTCTAAAGCCAAGTTGGTATTAAATTCACACTCTCAGTAATGGTATATAAATAAAATGTGTTGCTTCCATTTTAAAGGATCCTGCCGACCTTCCACCACGAGGACATACACCTTCCTTTAAAAAAAAAATAGCAGTGGGCACTTATTTTTGCTTACTCATTCATACCAATTCTGCTGTCCCTCTTCGGATTAACCAGATTGGACTACAAGATGTTTCACACCAAGGTTCAGGACACAGTCTACATCCATGTAAAGAACTAAAAGAAATGACCTCCTAGAAATCAAACTTAAGACTCATCACAAGACCCTACTTCTCTTATAGTCTTGTGTGAACAACAAATGTAAATTCATGACTCCATTTTATGGCCTTATTTAGGCAGTGGGCTTTAGTCTATCAATATCCCCCATTAAGTTAAAAAAGAATTCTCCAATACAAATGGTTCGATACTTTAGAAACAATGAGCTAAGATGACTATGTTCCTCACTGCCATTAAATACTATTCCAGCACTTAGAGATAATGAGCATTTGTGCTATAGCAACCTGCCTCCTGAGACATTAACAAGAGTTGCATATATTAAGAGAAAATACATAAATCATAAATGAAAGCAAGTCAAATGACCAAGCAAGGGACACAGAAAAACCTAGCCACCATTATTTTTATAGAAGGAGCGCACAAGGTCCATATAATTGTTGACTCTGAAGGGCAGGGCAAAAACAAATGAATTCCACTATATAGAACTACATTTTGCTACAACACATGTTTTTTTGTAAAAGTCAATGCTTGTTCAGATTCCACCATTTATGATCTTGAATCTTCTCTATATTTCAGTTTCTTAGTCTATAAAATGGAATTATCATGTTATACCAAATCACAGAACTGTAATGAATCAAAGAACATTATTAGTCTGGGTTTATCTGTCACCTTATAATGAAGTAACACACCACACAAAAACAATTCAGTCACACACCCTAAGAACTAGATAATTGTTCTTACTGCAAATATTTTCCTAAAGTTTAAAAAGGAAAAACGATACTCAGTTGTTGTTTTTTACTTTCTTGATTGATTTCTCCAACACTTGAGTGTCCACCATATATCACATATTACCTTTTGACATATGCTCCCTAAGAAAATAGGGGTTTTTCCCACATAGTTCAAAGCATATCTTACTTTCATATAAAACAGGGGTGGGGAACATCCAGCCCATAGGCCGTATAAGGCCTGAGAAATCATTTTTCTGGCCCTGCCAAGACATTAGGAGTGAGTTAATTAAATGTTTGACCAGATATAGCAGGCTAACTTTTAAATTGATAATTTTGTATGGTCAGAGAATGACGTTATAAATATCCAAATGGCCCTTGGCAGATAAAAAAGTTCCCCACCCCATATAAAAAACAATTATTCCACATACAGGAAGTTTACAGGTTGTTGTTGGTATTGTTTGAGATCACTCCTATGAAAATTAATTCTGTTTAATAGACCATACAGTATAGGTACACTTGGATAAACAACTTCTTAATACAGTGAAAGGTACATGGGCTTTAGAGTCATAAAGATCTGTATTCAAATTCCTGTTCTGTGACCTTGAGCACATAATCTAACTTCCCTGCTCCTCACTTTCCACATTTGGTTATGGGTTGTTGTGGTGATTT